GGGTTACATTGAAAGTGGTCGTATATTACGATGAATTAAAGCTTCGTCTGAGAGTGGAACACGAGAAATTGTATGAGACATTCCAAGGGAAACCGGGCGTGCATTTTTCAACAGTTTCTCAGCATCTAGAATCCATTAGGAAAGTGAAACAATTAGATAAATGGGTTCCCCACGTATTAACGAAACGTACACATCGAACCGAAGCATTCATATATTTTCTTTCGCTTAACAAAGGAGCTTTTTCTTCAACTTAGAACCGTCACCAATCGATTAAATCCTCAACAGTTTTTTAATAAAGAAAACATTCTGTGAAGAGACGGTATGAGATAATTCTTTAGTGATTTCTGCTTTTGTGAGCTGCTAAATGAGCTTTGGCGTTCCGCATAAACCTGTGACATTATCATCTTTTGCAGAGTCCTCAAACGTTACCTAAGGTGTACTAATGTATATTTAATTGCACTTTTTTAAATCATTAACACGATTTTAATTTGAACTTTTAACTTGAAATAACTTTGGTTCCCTCTTCTTCTTCAAACGTCTCAGATACTTTATTATAGCAAAGACAAAGTATTTAAAAATTCAATAGTTTCAGAAACTCACATTTTTGCCAGAAATTTACAAATGGAGACAAAGTATTTAAAAATATATTTGACAGATTCAATAGTTCCAGAAACTCAAACTTTTGTTATAAAGGTAAAAATGGTAGCTGTTAGACTTTGTGTTAATTGTTCAAAAATGGCGACTCCTTTTTCTCAGAAAATACAGATTTGAGTGCACGAGGTCTCTTATTTAATTTCTAATTTAAAATTAGTTTATTTTGTTGCTATAATGTACCAACAACGAAGGGAAAGTTGTCTGTCTCGAATAGTTTTTTTAATTTTATTTTCGAGAGCAATCCACTTTAATTCATTTTCAACTAAATTATGACAATTTAACTCCTTGGCGTATTTATTTCAATTTAATGTTCACAGAAAAGAACAGAACTTAATATTTGGATGGTAGGGTTTCGTTAAAAAGTTGAACGTTTAAATGGAGTAATTAACTTAAATATTGAACAATGAAGATTCTTGGAAAGGTCGTTTACGGGATATGCACATCTAAACGGAACTGTCTGTGTTTAAATATAAACTGTTGACGTCTGGAATTTGGGCTAACCATGAATTAATGTTTCTGCGACCTTTGTTTGAGTTCACGAGCGTGAACTTAAGAGAATATGAAACTTAAGCTTGGTAATTTGAAAATTCAAAGACGTACACTAATTTACACGAAAAATAGTTGTAATAAATATATCACTCAAACAGGCTATTTAATGTGATCATCGCCAATTAGAAGCAGGACTAAAACTAAGACTAAAATGTTATATAACAAAAAATCCATGAATGCTTTGTTAAGAAATTATAACAAATATATAAACTGTGAAACTCGGTTGAGATTCAGGACGTTAAAATCAGAGAAGAAATTTATAAAATTAGTCTTTTGCGAGCATTCTATATCGTGAGTTTCTTTGCAATTTACTGGACATAAACTTGAACAATAGTTAAAAATTTTGTGACTATAAAAAGTTATCATCGAAGGAAGAATATTTCAGTACCCAAGATAAATGATAGAAACTAAACTCTGATAAAGAAATGTTTAAATTATCCACATAATTCTACGTTAAAAATATTTTTTCGTGCCCTAGCAGTTGCTCTCTTTGAACAAAACTTTAGTAAATTTGTTTGTTTAGTGAATAAAAAAACATAGTAATTCTTAACAAAGCATTTATGAATTTTTTGATATATATATAACACTTTAATCTTATTGTTGCTTATGGAACATGTGGCGCTGCTGTCGAGCGCTTGTGAGAGCGCTAGCCCTCTGGCGGCGAGCATGAAAGACAACGCCACAAACACACTGCTGAAGTGTACATAGAAAAATGTAAAACACCCCGTATAATAGAATGTTTTGACAATTCAAATGATCGAAAATGCTATTATCGAATCAACTTGTCTCTTCGTTGATGCGAATAATTGAAACTTTACCTTGTTTGTACATTTTCTAAGATTCTTTTTTCTCCTTAGATATTTCTCGATATTGAAAAGCGAGGAACATTTTTGTTCAATATTCTATTCTTTTTCCAATGGTTACTAACTTTGTATTCCCCGTTCTTTGAATCTTCTCTATTTAAATCTTCCGACTTTTCTGCTTATTCTTTGCGCAACGATACGAAGAACTTCTGAAGCTGACGTTTTCTTTAAACGATTCCACTGTTACTTTGCTTTCGTTATCGGAGGATAATTTTATTCCTTGAGGATTTTAAAAGATATGTAACCTCGGCAACAACTCGAAATAAAAAAATCCCGTGTCTTTAAATGTAACAATAATTTTAACGTCGTTGTAGAATAACGTAATTTTTTTATTGTTAGATAAATTGTTTCTACATTTTTTAAATATATAATTAACCTGTGTTATCCACATCGTATTTTATAAAAAATATATTTTTCAAATCTGCAATTTGAAGAGAAAATTTTTGTAGAAAAATAAGATAATTACTCGCTAAATAATGCACTATTAGAAACAATTATTTGCTCCTTTGTAACATAAATTCATTACATTTTAATTGTAAATTAACTCACGATATTTAAATAACATTTGACAAAAAAATTTAATATCTTGATGATTCTTTTTTAACGAAAGACACGATCAATAAATGGCATTGAAATATCTGTTTTTTAATATAAGTTTATATGAAATTTTGTTTGTTGGTATATATTTGTTATATTGTTTGGCCACTGATTTCAAAAATAGCTGGTGTATGCATATTATATTATACATACTGTTTGATGCAATTAGAAGACCCGTTCGTTGCGGTGATTTCAATTATTAATTGATTTCGACGTTAAATATTAATATATCAAATCCATCGTATCTCTGTCATTCTTATTACATATCTGGGTTCATTGGTTCGAACTGCCTGGAAACGTCCGCTAATTGTTTCAGTCAATACATATTCATAACCTTTATGTATATTCAAATTCAGTCTGCAGGAACTAGTATCAATTTAACTTGAAATAGATTTAGAACTAAACTGTAGAAAATGTTTACGAGAATAATCAGTAAACGTTCGAGGAATGTATATATAGCAATCGAGGGGTCGATCGAGCGCTTGTGAGAGAGACTAGAGCGTAGCCCTCTGGCGGCGAGCACGGGAGGCGACGCCACAGATCGTAGGATTCAATTTTCCTTTTCAGCCATTGCAAGTGGCAAAGGCGTACGACGATACAGTTATTCCCCCCTCTTTGGTTTCTTGATATACACGTTATGTAACAAATTGCATAAGTAAATCCCATACCGATACAAACGTAATCGAAAGGCGGTACACCGACTGCGTTTCCGTTCGCCTCGAGCAACGCGAAATTGAATTATTAATGCTCCATTCTGGCTGTAACGTACGTACGGATGCAGCGAGACACTCGCGAGCATGTTTACCGGAAATGAAGAAACACTACGGAGACCTTGAAGTTTTCTCTAACGCGAACCGTCGTATGCATCGGAGTTTGGCAAGATTTTTTTATCGAAACGAGTAAAAAGTCCGTAACAACGTAACATACACTTATACAGGGTTGTTCCTTAACCCTATAAGCGAGAAAAACCCCATAAAAATGGTCCAATTTTCAAACGACCATAACTCCTATAATAGTAGGCGTATCGCATTGAAATTTAGTCTGCAAGTAGAGCTCATGGATACCTACAAAAGAGTATTAGACAACTTTTCTGTAGAGCGTCAAACAAAATAATTAAAAATCAGAAACAAATTTTTAAGAAGGGTAGGTGCTTAAATTATTTGGCGAAATTAAAAAAATTAATATCATTCTGAAAAAATTATTTTTGGTTGAGGGGATCAATTACAATCATTTTTCGACATTACACATACCCTCGAATTCCTACGCACTTTCAAGAAAAAAATTCATGAATATACTGAAATTTTTCGGCGAAATTAAAAAAATTCATATCATTCTGAAAAAATTATTTTTGGTTGAGGGGATCAATTACAATCATTTTTCGACATTACACATACCCTCGAATTCCTACGCACTTTCAAGAAAAAAATTCAAGTATATACTGAAATTTTTCGGCGAAATTAAAAAAATTCATATCATTCTGAAAAAATTATTTTTAGTTGCAGCGATCAATTACAATCATTTTTGGTGAATACACATACCTCCGAAATCCTACGCACTTTCGATAAAAAAATTCTTTACCGAGAATATTCTGTGAGGCCAGGAATGTTTCCCCGAAATTTCATGCGTATGTTTAAAAAATCATAACATCTGGACGGATTGTAGTATTTTAACGATTGAAAATTCAAACAATGGAAAAATACATTGGGTGTGTGGTGTACTCGTGTACCTCGTCTGCGGTGAGAACTATTATCCCGCGCATGGGTTCTACATGCAGAACTTTAAAAGTTAATAACTTTTTAACGAAGCCTCAGTCAAGAAATTGATATTCTTGATTTTCGTCTTATTTTGGTCCCCAGAATCTCCCATTAAAATTTCTTCCAAGGGTGCCTGAACACCCCTGTATATTTAGAGGGAGATTTTAGAATCAAAGATAAATAGAGGTTTGATTTAGGAATAGAAAGTAGGAGAAAGGTATTGTTGTCTTTTACGAAACCCAAGGTTCCCAGTATATTCATTAATTCGATTATTAATTCCAAGTAATAGTTCATCGAATGCTTGCAAACAAATAATTTTTCTTTGGGCACGAATGGAATGTAAGTTCGACGAGGAAAACATGGCCGCGTATTAAGTAAATTCTGATTTTCTGACGTCTGGGAGGGGTGGGGCAAGAATCGGTTCGAAACGCTGAACGCGACGACATATTGAATATGTAACGAACGTTCGCGTTCCAGAGCGGCGGGTTGCGTCCCGTTTTCTGAAAGTTTAACGAAAAGAAATAACTTCCCGCGCACTGCCGTCCCTTTTCTCTCTTCCCCCGTCACTGTATCGATTTTCCAGGCAGAGGAATATATTTTAACGAGGCGAAAACTTTTCTCGTCTGGTGCAACGAGGAGGATCACATGCGTCTGATATCGATGGAGAAGGGCGGGGACCTGTCGTCCGTGTACGCGAGACTTGTTAAAGCGGTTACCGAAGTCGGGAAGAAACTGGAATTCTCGCGGCACCAAAGGCTCGGCTACCTCACCTTCTGCCCGACCAACCTGGGAACGACCATCAGAGCCTCCGTTCACGCCCGTCTGCCGAAATTGAGCGCGGATTATCCGAAATTCGAAGAAATCGCCGCCATGTACAACCTCCAGGTGAGAAACGAAATTGGCGAATCTTTCTTTTTTATTCCTTCGCGAGATAAACGTATTCGACGTACACTCTGGTGGCTCCAAAACAACCCCCTCGCGGTAAATATTTATTATGTAATTTATAATTTACAACTCTGCTTTTATTTGTGATTCTTCGTGAGCAGAAAGTATCGCCAAATATTGTTGATACTGGAATTCGAAGGGGGATTTTATTCTGACAGTATTTTATCAGACGACAGGTGTCAGTGATTGAATTAGGGGTTATAATAGTGTCTCTCACTCTGTTTTTTCTTAATTTATAAATGGAAATGTGAGCTACAATATTGGAACAGAGATATTAAATATCAACAAATGAAAAAGATAAAGTAATAGAAACAATTGTTTTAAAGTAATAGAAACAATGTGGACGAAGTCTTAATTGATTGTTCGAATGACAGTAATTGGATTAGGGATGACAGTAACATCTTCCACTCCGTTTCTTCTTAATAATACAATTTGTAACCAAAAATGGAGATTTTGAGAGTCGTGTTACCCTTTTTTCTCTGCACCAGAGACATTAAATATCAATAAATATCAATAACATCTTCCACTCGGTGTTTTCTTAACCCTTTGACTGCTAAAGGCATTCACAAGTCTATCAATATATACGAAAGACGTAAATATACGCCCTCACGTGTCCATCACTATGTACGAAAAGCGTAAATTTACGCCATCTGCATTATTTTTACTGTTTTACCAATTTATTCGACATGGAATTGGATAAAAATTGGATATTTTAATTTATTTGCATTTATTATGTTTGTATAACTGGTTTGGTCACCAGTCGCAACGACAGGCATGCGACGATCGCGCCATCTATGTTGATGGACTCTTCCTAGGGCGCGCCACAGTCAAAAGGTTAATTATACAATTTGTAAAGAAGAATAAAGATTTTGAGAGTCTTATTATTTTTTCTCCTGCACCAGAGACATTAAATATCAACAAAATAAAAAAAAATACAAATATTGCAAACAAATAAATGTCTTAAAATAATAAAAACAATGAAATGAAGTCGTAATTGATTGTTCGAATGGTAGTAATTGGATTAGGGATGACAGTAACATCTTCCACTCTGTTTCTTCTTAACTCTTTGACTGCTAAAGACGTAAATATACGCCCTCACTTATCCATCGTGAAAAGTGTAAATTTACGGCCTCTGCATTTCGTTACTATAACACCTTTTACTGTTTTACCAATTGATTCGACATGGAATTGGATATTTTAATTTATTTGCATTTATTATGTTTTTATAACTGGTTTGGTCACCAGTCGCAGCGACAGGCATGCGACGATCGCGCCATCTATGTTGATGGACTCTTCCTAGGGCGCGCCACAGTCAAAAGGTTAATTATACAATTTGTAAAGAAGAATAAAGATTTTGAGAGTCTTATTATTTTTTCTCCTGCAACAGAGACATTAAATATCCACAAAATAAAAACGATACAAATGTTTCGAACAAATAAATGTCTTAAAATAATAAAAACAACGGGACGAAATCATAATTGATAACTCGAAAGGCAGTAATTGAATTAGGGATGACAGTAACATCTTTTGCTCTGTTTTTCCTTAATTATACAATTTGTAAACAAAAATGGAGATTTTGAGAGTCTTATTATTTTATTTTCTCTGCACCAGAGACATTAGATATCAAAAAAATAAAAAAGACACACATGTTGCAAACAAATAAATGTCTCAACACGTTGACTGCCAGTCTAAAATCCTAAAATTGTTTACCAGACCAAAACTCTGATTTTAGGCAATTGTAAACTACACAACTCAAAAGTTATCGTAACAGTTACTTTTCTAACCTCATTAAAATTTACGAAGCCTATTAAAATTGATTTTCTTTAACATTTCAACTTGAGAATTCATTGTTTTAGTTCCACTGTTGAAAGTTCTGTCACCCATATATGGGTCACGTGGCAGCCAAAGTGTTAAAGTAACAAAAACAATCAGATGAAGTCATAATTGATTATTCGAATGGTGGTAATTGGATCAGGGATGACACAGTAACATCTTCCACTCTGTTTTTCCTTAATTATACAACTTTATTACAACTTCATACAAATTATTACAATTATACAAACAGAAATAAAGATTTTGAGATTTTAAACAATTTTAAACAATTTTAGGATTCTAGACTGGCAGTCAACGTGTTAAGATATTTATTTGTTTGCGACATGTGTATCTTTATTATTTTTTCTCCTGCACCAGAGACATTAACAAATTGACTGCCACGTCACCCACATATGTGACATTGTTTTTCACCAAGGAGCTAAAAAAGATTCATTCTCAAGATTAAATGTTAAAGAAAATAAATCTAAATATGACTCTTGAATTTTAACGAGACTTTGATAATAAGTTTTATGACAAATTATGATTAAATGTTAAAGAAAATAAATCTAAATATGACTCTTGAATTTTAACGAGACTTTGATAATAAGTTTTATGACAAATTATGATTAAATGTTAAAGAAAATAAATCTAAATATGACTCTTGAATTTTAACGAGACTTTGAAAATAAGTTTTATGACAAATTATGATTAAATGTTAAAGAAAATAAATCTAAATATGACTCTTGAATTTTAACGAGACTTTGATAATAAGTTTTATGACAAATTATGATTAAATGTTAAAGAAAATAAATCTAAATATGACTCTTGAATTTTAACGAGACTTTGATAATAAGTTTTATGACAAATTATGATTAAATGTTAAAGAAAATAAATCTAAATATGACTCTTGAATTTTAACGAGACTTTGAAACTAAGTTTGATGACAAATTATGGTTATGCTAGTCTCCAATTGTCTAGAAACGAAATTTTATTTTCGTGGAGGATTCGAGGGGTTTCAATGCGTTAAATATCAAAAAAATAAAAATGGACACGCATGGTAGATGCATCAATAATAAAAACTGACTACACCCTCCACTTCTAAGAGTTTAGTATAACATTATTAGAAATAATGCATCGATGACAAAGTGCACGGGTACCATTTTCTTACGTTCGTGTTCACGTACGCTGTCCACGAGATCATTTTACTTGTCCCTAAACGTTGCTTCTGAAACTTTCTACTCCATAGTCGTTCAGCTCTCTATTGTCCATAAAATTGTGCTTTCACGGTGCTCTTCAACCTTTAGAATCCACATCGCCCCCGCGACCGTCGTCGTTCGACTACGCTGAATCACGCAAACAGCGTTCACTTCACAAATATTTCGCTACACGCTAATTACAAATGACGAGAAATGTGAAATGAAATTTCAGAAAAGGGTACACGAATTAATGTAAAATTTGGGGATCACACTAGCGAAATATGATACGTCTTTTCAATTAACGTGTCGTCGTTTTAGTCCTTTTTGTACGAAAACAATCATTTGGGGTACTATTAAAACGTGTGTCGTGTCTTTGTTCGTCCATTCTTGTGCAGCGAATGTATGATAATAGCGAAAACATTCTGTGGTTTGTGGATTTCATCGAACAAAGGAAAATTAACAGAGACGAATACCGAATACGTCGCAATACTTTTCGCGAAACCATTTTTACAACTGTATTAATCGAAGATATTGTTTACACAAAATAATTTTTTTTTTTAAGTAAAATACTTTCAATTTCGGTTAATAATATATCGTCATAAATTTAAAAAATTCTTCAGGATTCTACAATTTAATTCTCATGAATGTCTAAATTAAAAACGTGAAACGGCTTCCACATTTTTCTTACATTTTCAATTTTATTTAAATCCGTAGAATTTATTGCTCAACGAAATCAGATTTTTCGCAACATAGTGTGTTCGTTTTAACAAATAGGATACTCTGTTCATTTAGAGCAATTCAAAGTTAGAGCGTATAATTAGGCATATCGATGGCTATTGTTTACATTACCAATAATTAACATTTATTATACACCGTTTAAAACTGCATACATCAATTCTAAATTGATTATGCACACACATTATCTCAAATTAAAGCGTGCATGTCGAATGTAAAATGATACCGCATCGATCCGTTCGAATCCCGTTAATTAGTAACATTTAGTATCACGAAATTCGTTCAATTTAAGAAATCAAAAATTCCCCGAAATTCGTTTTACCGAATCATCGTGAAACGGAAATTTGGAACGATTAAAAAGTTCGAACGAAATTTAAACGATTCGAAATGTTAATTTCAACATCGAAATATTAATAAATCGTTATTTTCGGTGTCGTCGACGTCGAAACACTGTCCGGCCGCTGAAAACTTAACGCATCGGGCGCAACAAGTTCGAAAACGAAATTAATATTAACTGGCTGCATTAAACGTCTATATCTTCGTATTATTGACCCGAGCGCGTCGTTAATGCGTTTACAAATCCCGAGCGTACACGTCATAAACTATCGTTACGAATCGCCAAACAATGAATATTTTGCTTGCAAGGGAAATATTTGTACTGGATCTCCGTTGCTTGTGGACAAAACACATAAAACTAAAATATACAATTTTATTTTTCGGCGCGTGCGTGAACCGTTTTCCACGGCCGGCCGCGGCGCGTTTTTATCGAATTTGATCGTCACTCTGCGCAGAATTATAATGGGATTTCGAGCGACGAAAATATAGTTGACACTGTACGCTAAATACTCGTGAAATAAAAAAGTGAAAAAAGTGTCGCGCTTCGACGAATTTCTCTGCGCGATACGGGCGCGCATGCGCGTAACCAGCCCTTAAAATACGCGTGTTCCCATAGTCTCGCCGCTTTGATCTCGAATTAAAATCGTATTCGATTCGCATCGATCAAGTTTCGAAAATCAAAATTATTCCCGGGCACGGTTGATGACGTTGATTCGATTTAATTGGATATTCAAGTTTTTAACGTCAGAAAGTATCAATGATGATGAGATAATTCGTTTCGAAATGTTCCGCCATTCGTGTCGGAATTGCCGAATCGTTTAAAATTTGTTTAACTCGTCGAAGGAAAGAAATAAATATTAA